AAAAATCCATATTATTTTAGATTGTATAAGAAGAAATGTTAATAGTAACATGATACGGTTAAAAAAGAAAAAGAAAGATTGGTATCTACTTGATTCTTTTTTAAGTAGTGTTGCCACCAGCTGGCTATTCTATGCATATAATTATTTTTATTTATTTATGAAAAATTCAGGGCAAAGAAAAAAAACCTATAATGACGTGGCAAAATTTTAGTAAAACACTTGATTATTCATTGTGATTAAATTCATATTCAATAGTTCTCGATCATCGAATAATACAAATATCGGGCTTATATTAATGAATGTAGTGCAAAAAAAAAGAGAATATTAAGAGAGGATCCACGGCAGGACCGTGGTCACCGACAAAATTTTAATTTTCGATTTAACTATCTAAAACGATAGACTATCATTAGAAGTTCCTAAATCCAAAATATCAGATCTTTCTAACATTCCTGTAAAAAATGCCAGCTGATCAAAAAAAGTGACTTTTTACGGTGCTTGTCGTATTTTTCATTTTTCTCTGCAATGGTTTATCGGTTTGAGACTGGGGATGTCTCAAAAGATGTAGAAATGTTTTTTCTACAAAATTAGCTAATTTTAAAATTTTCAGAGTACCGCCCACTAATTGATAATTTCAATCTACAGGCAAAAATATGGGTTGGCCAGTATGTCAATTTTCTAGTATTTTGCCTGAAAACCACACTGAGCGATTTTGTCCCAAAAAAAAATTATATTTTCTGAAAGCCCTTAAAACTCGGCATTCCTTGATATATAACTGAATTTGTTAAAACTTTGGTAGCGAAAGTTAGCCTATACCACAAATGTGAGCAGATGATGGTAATTTTCATTAATCTGCCCCTTCATTGGCTCCTGTGCATCGTATGTTTGCTCGAATAAAAAAAAAATTGACTTCAGATTCATAATCAGCATCAAAAACTACGTCGATTAGGCTATTTTGAAACATTTTCAAAGTCTATTATATGTCACCTGCTTGATGGAACATTAATTTTTACACTATCATCCTATATCGGTTCCATTGTATCCTCTATAGACATTACATAAACAATTTATTTTCGTATGTAAATACATAATCTTATATAGTTTTTCAAGGGCTACATGATGTACTATGCCACGTTTTCATTTCATTTACCTTAGACATCAACAAACGTTATTTATTTTCAAAAATTTTATCAGCAAGACATCAATAAATTCATTTCTATGTTCTTTAGTGACATCTGTTCATTTTAAACTTGTATCAGCGATGTAAGTACTTTGCCTTCTTTGTATTGATAGTTTTAAAACCACTGTGAAGCTAACCGAACCAGATCATTTAGCCGAAAAAAAGTAGCGATTCAATTGAACCATGTGTTCACCGATCGATATCGTAAAATTTATAAACCACTACTAAAGAGGAACACAAAAAAAAAGGTTCTGGAAATGGCTGTCTTTAGTAATAATAATATGAAAGCAATAGAATGCGTGCAATAATTATAACTTTAACAACTGAGTGTTAATATTCTCGCTTAATGGAGTGTTTTTTTCTTATCAAGAAAAAATTACAAACGAAAATTAGACTCAATTCAATGCAACTCATCACTTGAATTGAATTGAATTTTCTGTAATGAAGTTGGTATCACCAATGCTCCAACATATGCGAATTTCTGCGAGTCTCACACGGGCTCTTTAAAGGTTCGAACATCATTTTCCCCAATCAGACCTATCTCATTCGACTACCAGTTTCGTGTTAACAACGATTGTCTGATCAATATGATGCAAAATTAGAAGACAATAAAGAAATGATTCAAAAGAATTATTTACTATTCCTGTTTGTTAAAAAAAATGTCACATATAAAATTAAACTCAGATAGGTTGCATTTTTAATTACGTAGGTGTAAAACTATGAAATAACTTTCTTTGATTTAAAAGTTAATTTTAATTTTGGTTTCGTTAAGAAAATATATCACGCACTTTTTTTTTTTACTAAGCAGAGTATTCATTTTCAGTTATTCATACTGTAATCTATGCACCAATGATATCCTCTACGTATATCGGAAAATGATTTTCGAAAAGATTTTTATAAACAAGCAAAGTAGCATTTAAATTTTAGGAGTATTAAATTCCTAGAGAAAGCAACTATTATTCTAGCACAGAGAATGCATAAGCGAAAACCTGCTTCACTTTTTTGGGTTGGAAAATATCTCAACAAAATTTTTACAACATCATCTATTTATACTTGACATATCATCTATTAACCACGTAAAATTCAAAGACAAATAAACATCGATACAAATATTATCCAAAGAGCATACACTTCGAGAAGACTATGTAAATTGCAATAGAGAAAATTGGCGAACTATATAACTTCCTAGATTTAACTACACTCCGATAAAAGTTGAACATCATTTGACATAATTATATAAGATCAGTTGTTTATTCTCATCTTTTTCGATGTTTTTTAATTTTTTAAATCTTTTAAAAATTTCGTTTAATTTTACGTACATCTCAGCTTTATCTGACACATATATTGAGATAGTAAGAACTTCGAAGTTTATGAAAAAATCAAGAAAGCATTTTGACATTTTTGTTTTTATCGACAACTTCTACATTTATTTCTTTGTGTGTGTATGCATGTTAATTTAGATTCGCATTAACTAGGAAACCTATACTTCTCATCTTCTTTCATCTATAACTAACTTTAAAATATTATTCTCAGACAGAGTTGAATCCTTTTTTTTTATTAGTGATTCAATCGTACATAGAATATGTTCAACAATGAAAAAATAAATTTATAGTTCATCATCATTCTTGTCCATTTATATGTTTGTATTTAAATCAAATCTTTATTCAATACCAAAAAAAAATACAATAACACGAACAAAGTATCATGTTTTTGGATAATGTTGCATAATCACACATGATACCATGTTGTTGCATAATATTGCATAATCAAATATGAATTTTATACCAACATCTTGACAATCAGCTTTTTGAATTGATTCCTCTAAATCAACAATATTCTTTTATACAGGGATCGCAGCGGAAGGTTACCAAGAAGAAGGATTTTGAGAAGGAATTTTTAAAAAAATAGAAGGAAATTCGAGCAAAAGAAGGAAAGGAAGGAAAAGAAGGAATTTTCTCGGAGTACTGCGATGCAACGAATCAATTTTATACGACATCCAATAAGAAACCACAGGACTGAGCTCAGGCGAGTAAAATAATTTTCGAATTATTGTTTGATCACGTTGCAAGATCATTCTCTTGGTGTTATAATGAATACGAACTGAGAACGAATTTCAAAGGCGAACAGCTGTTTCTTTAGTAGTGTCCTGCACGGGTACGACTTTTTGCACCCGGATCCGGCCCGGCACTTTTTCCTATACTCGGACCCGACCCGGACCCGGCCATCCTATACCCGAACCCGAACCGGACCCGGATAGCTGTACTCGGTACCCGACTCGGCGCTATTCAACATCCAACAAATATTTTCACAGTCATAGTACAGCTTTTAAACTTTTCCTTGATATTAAAAAGTATACTGTTTAGATTTTTCCCTAAACAGCAAGAAAAGAAATAGATCATCTCAAATTCCACAAAAAAGGTAAGTGAATAAAGTGATTCAGGATTCACTCGATGTCTTTCTACTTCTATAATTCGATCGATTTCGCTAATTATGTTTGCTAGTTCCTGATGAAGTTGGAATGGAACGTAGTGTTGTTGTCAAGCAACGTACTCATGGATACATATGTAGATGAATGCTTTTCACAACATCAAAGTGTACGTCTACGTTTTCGATAGTTCATTTTCTTCTCTATATATTCAGTTACTTCGTCATATGTTGCCTCATCATCTGCAGATCAATTTTCATTAAAAACCAATTCTCTTAGTAAAACAATATTGCGTTTCCACCTCTGTGATCTGTCCTCAAGTACAATTAGTTATTCAGTGATGATTGAGCCAGTTTTAATCCTATGCTTTTAAACAAATAGCAGTTTGAAAAAGAAAAAATATTTTGAAACATCAAATTTTGATTAACTGCCGGACCGGGTGCCGGGTGCCCGACCGGGTTGCAGGACACTATTCTTTAGTCATGCGACGTGCGTGTATGTTGTTGTCATTCCCATGTCTCAATGGTTCTCTCGGTAATTTTACAGATCACGTACGCCTCTCGCCCACATATATTACTATGCCGTGTAACGATCACGAAAACTCGTGTATGCTCAAATCTATCAGTTAATAGGGTGTCAGAGATGTGTAGCAGTATCCTTGCTCTGTCCTTTGAAAAATAGGCAGCACAATGCACAGTGGCTACTTCTATCTGCCACTTTTACACATAGCGGGACAAAGAGTTAGCCTAAACACATCATTCTTGCCTATATGTGTCAAGTTGAGGATGATTCGAAGTTAGGTTGACTGGTTAACTTACCTTTTAGCGTTGAAAGCTGAATTCAACTCGAATTCATCTTTCAACTTGTAAAAAGATATTTTCCATCATCCGATATTTCTGATATATCCCACTCGGATTGAGATGCTTTACGACCTCCTCGATTCAGATACGCTTTTCGGGNAAGTGTGTACGGAATAAATCGAACTCACTTTAAGCACATAAAACAGAACTTACAGATTTACACTTTTATCGTTTATTTACATCAAATAAGAAATTATAAAAATAGAAATGAAAAAATGGTGATCAAAAGTATTGTTTTCTGGTGATCAAAAGTACTTTTTCCCCAATTGTTGATACTGCTTCGTATGTTATTATTTTATTTTTATTACGCAAACATGAATCAATAAAATCATTCATTGAACTATCCGTTCCATAATAAATAAATATATTTTTAAAAAATTTTTTAAGAGACTATCTGATCTTTTGAAACTATAATTTTTCATAATCAAATACTGTTTTTCAAGACGTATTTTTTTAAATAAATATTTTCTTTTATTTAATCTTTTATTTTTATTTGTTTATGTTTAATACAAACAAACAAGAAAAAAAAACAACAAGATTAATTAGGTTTAACAATATTTAATGATTTTCCTTCATTTGCTTTAACTTTACTGGCACATTGTTGTTCAATATGTTTTGCAATGTCTGTTGTTAAACGTTGTTGTACAGCTTCAAGACCTGTTTTACCAGTATTCATATTAGTTTTCTTTTTTTTATTCATTTTTGTTTTTGATATTTTACCATGATCATTTTTTTTTGTTGATTTCTTTTTAAAATTTGATGGTAATTGTATTTTTGTTTTTAATTTACCTTGCGGCATTTTTCTAATTATCTAAAATAATAAAAACTAAAAATTAGAATACATTGTTTTTTTGGCTACAGATTTCATATCAAGATTTATTTGTCCATGAAAAAAGATCACGTAAAACAAGACATTGAGCTAAATCTTCTTCATTTTGTGGTCGATATAAAGGTTTTTCTCCATCATGATAGATAAATCTAAATAATACCGAAAAAATTCAATTTGACTTTTTAATAACATTACATACGGAAAACGTAAAATCCATATAGAATCTTCTGTAAGATGAATTGGTTGAGTATAGCTTGGAAAAAATGTTGGACTATTTGGACCAGCTGGTACAACTTGTGGATGAAGTACACATTGAATTGGTGTCGATGATGATGGTGTTACAACATATGCACGCATTAATTGTGCCCATACACGTGCACCAGTAGATAATATTCGACAAGAACATGGAGTATATAATGGCATATCAGATCGAACTAATTTGGCACCATCATCCTAATATGAAAATAATAAAACAAACATTATGTAATAGAAAACTTAAAAATTAAAATAAACAAACGAACTTTGACTATTCCATTTTGAACAACACGTATAACATGATTAGGTGATGAACACATAAATCTATGACCACGAGGACATTCATATTCACATCCAATATAAACACGAATGGTAACATCCCAAATTGATGCACTAGTTGCACCTGAAAATTTGTTACATAAAAAGAAATTCAATACAGCAGGGAACGAAAGTTTTTCAATAAATTTTAAATTTTAGTTATTGTTCTTTAGAAATGTTATAAGAAAAATGAATCTATTAGTATGAAAAAAGCACAAGAAGAGGTATACTCTGGTAACTATAGTCTTTTAGTCTCACATGTTGGACGAGGGTTTGATGTACTTTGCTCTTTTGTATCTTTTTGTGCAAGAAACGATATTTATTATATATTATTGCTATGGCCATATAGAGGTCAAAAAGGCGACAACTATTAACAAATAGAAGTGATGGCTTATTTGATGCATAGGTGACATTTCTCTTGTCTTGATTATTTTTATATCACAGTTATGTTTAATTAATTGTTCTTATTCCAGCAGTTATAAAAGAAATGATCATTGGTTTACGAACTGGATGTTCACTAGTGATGGTGTTGAGCATGACAACTGGTCAAGCGAACTTATGCATCATATTAAGAATAAAAAAATTACTGAAAAGTCAGCAAAAATTAAGATGTTAATATCAATACAGAAGCAGACAATGACATTAAATGAATTTCATTAAACAAAAAATATTGGGAACAACACGTCGGAATCGACGACGACACCTCGTCAGATGTTCTCTTCCGATTTCAATGATTGTTTTGAGCCTATAGATACTGCATAGTGTTCTAATAAAATCCTAAAAGAATTTGGGTTCGCATTGATAATTAATTAAGCAGTCGAAGTTTTACTATGTCCATTTTCTACAAACTCCTGTAGCAATATTTTATCCAGAATTTTCTCTTTCGAACGGGGGAGTATCTATTGTCGGGAATATAGACACATAGTACATGACACAAGAATTAGAAACTCCCAGATGGTCAACTCGATCTTCGAAAATCTGGGACCTCAATAGGAAGCGAAATCCTTTTGGAATTTTTATTAGAACATTATGTAAAATTTATAGGCGAAAAAAAGTGAAATCGGCAAGCGACATCTGAGAAGATTCCCTTGTTACTTATTAGAAAGTTTGATAAACATTAAAAATGTTACTTTTTAGTATAAGTCCGTAGTTATCTGCGTGAAATATAAAAATTTTGAACAGAAGATGCAATTTTTTTTTGTAGATATATTTTCATAAATTCTGTTCGATGGTCGGTTAGTAATATTCTACCACAATATTGTCTATCGTATCCTCTAGCAAGCATTCCAATATGGTAATAAAGTAATAGGAATAGACTGTATTTTTGATGCAAATCGTCCTGCCAAAGACAATTTTTTTACAGGAATTATACTTAAAAAAAATCATCCACAAAACTTTGCCCACTATTGTATTAAAGAATGAGATTTTTATAAAAATAAGCACTAACCTCGTCGATTATTCTTATAACTACGTGTAGCTGTTGTACGTTGTTGATGATATTGTGCAACACCACCACCGCCACCACCACCACCAGCGGCATTCGCTGCTGATGTTTGATTATTATGTGGATTTATGTCCCATGGTATGAGATGATTCAAATTAGTCAAAAAGCCAGGTTGTTGAAGGCCTAATAAGAAATTTCAAATTTCAATGTGCGTAAAATCTTAACAAGTTCAATTGGTTATTCAGAGATAATTTTTCTGCTATGATTCAAAATTCGTATTCGATCTATAATTATCATTTATTTTCATTAAAAAAGTACGCTATTAAGAAATATGGGATCAAGGCTTATCATATAAATTTCCCATAGATTAATAAATCTGTTTTTTTTCTTATACATATACAAATCTTCAACATAATATATTAATTTTTATCTTTATTGTCTCGAAAAATGATTCCCATATTTAACTGCACATTCTCGTATAAAATCTATATTGTAAATTAGACTGAAGTTTAAATTACCTTTCGTCGGTATATAATCCGATGCTCGGCCAATGCAACATAAACTCCATGAACTATATCGAGGCAGTAATCCAGGAGGACTATCAGAATGTGTCATGCCATCAAGGTATTCAGTTGTACTTGGAATAGGTTGCTCATCATCAGCACATGTAACTGATTTGTGTCTCTCTGATGATTTGTCACCGGTTATGTTATCTAATGCTTGTTGTTCATCGTCTGGTACAGGTGAATAAAGTGCAACCGATTTTGATTGACCTTTTATATTCAATTAGATTGTATATATATATACGTAATCATATGACTACAAAAAAATAGATAAATATTTACTTAGATCAGATGCACCACTAAGATCTTGAGATGGTTTAGAAAGTTTTGATTCAATTTTAGGGTTATTATCTAAAAGATAAATAATCAATAACTAAGTTTATAATAAGAACAAAAACAAAAATTTGTTTTTTCTCATACAAGCTCGAATTTCTGTAGATGTAACTGTTCCACGAAAAATTGGAAATTCAAAATAAATTGGTTTTCCTGATAACATTTTATTAACATCTTGATAAAAATCATAATTAGCTTCCTAATTGATAAAAGAAAAAAATATTTATTTTAAACATTTACATATATAAATTACTTTTAAATCAAATGGATCTTCACGTTCTTGTAAAATTTGACCACAATTACTAGCTGCCATTAATTGAATCTTTGCATAAAAATAATCAAATATAAAGAAAACAAAAAAAAACGAAGCATTCATTTCATACTTTGCTATTATGTGCTCGTACAGGTAAGTGTGCAAGATTAGCTGAATCATTTGAATCTTCTTCACCAGGTACACGATGTAGCTAAATATAAGTAATAACTTATTTTTGTTAAAGATAATCAAGCTTCAAAAAAAAAAAGTAAGGACAACGAATATACGACTTTTTTTCAAAATGATAAAAGTAACTGTCTTTCATATTTTACATCAGTATTTCATACAATTGGAGTAAAACATATGTTGCTGATAGATCATTATAAAGTCTCGTTTGATATCAATCAACTGATTAAGGAATTGTCTCAACTGTTTAATCACTTTTCAGTTGGGAGTATGTACATTATGCAGACTCTGATGAGTTTTTTTTAACATTCCAACAAGAATTCGAGTCTTTAGGTTAACGTATTGGGAATGAAGACTGCAAATTTACGCTGGTTTTTAAATGAATGGCATAGTTCCCCTCAAGAATACTAACTGACTTTCGAATTCCAATATGAAAGTTTTAGACTTTTGTTTTGCTTCTATCTTGAAATGAAACCTCGAATCTGTCGTTATATAGGAGCAATGTAGAAGACACATTCTTCTCATAGCTGTATCTTAAGATAGAAACAACGACAACATTTGAAGCATTCACAAGAAACAATTCTCGTTAAAGATTATTTCACGTGAAAATTCGAAAATCAGTTTGTCTGCTGTTATTAAGAGGAGACTACGGTATTCGTTTAAAAAATTGCCGTAAAAGTGCCTCAGAACGACAATAGAAAAATGACTTGTTAAACAGATTTTCTTTTATAATACTGATACGATATTGCTCAAACTTTCTTTTGAAAAAAGTAAGAATTAAAGGATTGTTTGATAATGCAAGCGAAAATTTTGGTTCTCAGATTGAGTAGCACTTGTCGTGGCATGCCTCGTACGTAAAACTGGAAAGCTCTCATTGCATAACCTCTTCACAGCATGGTAAGGCAATCTTTATGTATAGCATATTTCTTTGAGAATTAGACTAAGAACAAAACTTCTTTTGTATTACATAAGTTTATGTTGCTTATGAAATAGAAAAGAAATTCATTTAAGGGCACTTCACTTTTTTGACCACTTCTGAGTTTCGAACGAGGTACAACCGATTAGACTAAAATTTTGTACTATAGATAGAACGTCTAAAATGAAGGGATACGTTTTTTGAGGGAAAAATTTCAATAACAGTTTTCAGAATTTTTCTGAGCCTAATTACATCCCTAATCAAACTTTATCTGATTGAGCTGAAAATCTTTTTTTTTTTTGAGACACCTAGAACTATATCTCAATACAAGGTCTTCAGCTTTTAGAATATTATAAAACCGGACACGAAGACCAAGAAAACAGTGAATCCTATCTCTGTTAGAATACGTCCAAGTATCTATAACAAAAACTTCAGTCTAATCGATTGAACTGTACATGCATGAAAACTATTTTCATTAATAAGAATATTTATAAATTAATAAAAATTTTTGTTTTTTCATACTTCATTTTTACATGGATTTCTAGTAAGACTAATAGCTTCGCATAGTTGTCTTCCATCATGCCATAAACGTGTACATTGTTCACTAAGCTGTTGTACATAACGTTTAGAACTTGAACCACGTGCATATGTTGCAAAAAATTCAATTGTAGCTTGTAACTAAAAATTAAATTTTGTTTTTTCGAAAAAAGAAATTATTCTAAAAGTCTTTGTTTTCTGTTTGATACAAACTCGTTGTTCATGAAAATGTTGAGTATATCTTGATGGTAAACCATCTTCATAATATTTAATAGCCATTGGTAAATATTTTTTACATCGTGTTTCATTTAATTTTCCATCAGGATCAATATTAGCTCGAAGCATACCAAATGCTTGTCGCATTATTTTATTTGTTGCTGGTATTGTTTCAAATAACTCACGTACAGAATTAAATAAATTTATCCAAATTGAATATGTACATAATTCAAATGATGATGATTCACTACGTGCACCACCTGATATACCATCATTTGACCAACCATCTGTTAATGCTTCTTCAATATGACGAAATAAAAAACGTTTAAAAGCTTGTGCATCATCTTGTTGATGAGTATTTGAACGATTGAAAATATTTGAATTACTTGCTATATTAAATGTGTAGAGAAATAAAATGAAAGAATTAAATATTGAAAAAAAAATGGAAATTTAATATCGGTTTTTTATTTACATGAATCTTTTGTTTGTTTAACAAAACCTTGTAAAATTCCGAGTAATTTTTGTGTTTGTCCTAATGATGAAGATTCTTTATAACAACGATGAATAAATACAAATGGTTGTTTATGTGCAATGGTAAATAAGGCTGAATTACTATAAAGAATAAATAATGTTTAGTTCAGTTTTGTGAGACACGACCTAAACGAGGTCTGGAAGTCTATAGGATAGGAAAGACTAGGTCGACTAACGTGCTTTTACTGCCCTCCAACTTTTTTCTGGTTTGCAGTAACATAGATGCTTCATGATATTCCACAAGTTAGTTTTTATATAGAGGACCAAAAGATTTGTGCGACCTGTGAGAAAATTTTATCTTTGATTTTGTTGAAATACTAGAGGCATCTTAATTAACAAGACAAACAATGCCCTCCCAAGTGTTCATTTGACTTTATGCTCAGTTTTTGTCCATGTATCCTCTCAAATTAAACATTCTGACACCATGAAAAAAAGAACATTCGTAATAACTAAAATAATGTAGTTTTCTTCATCTCCTATGAAAACTGAAAATTTCGAAATCTCTTGATAGAAGGCTAGGAGCAATGTGAAATTTGGAATAAATATATCATTTTCAATGCTCTATCTAATGCTACATTCAAAAAGCCAAAAGTAAATGATGCTTTAAGGTTTTTGAGAGCCCTTGGAAAACCTTTTTTATTGAACTTTAAAGGTCTCAATGAAAACCGAGTTGATCAACATGTTTCTCACATAAAATGACTTGTTTCTAGATAATAGAACCTTCTTGAAATGTTGATGTAAATGTTTTTTAGTCTTCTTTATTTGCTTCGGTCGACTTACATTACTAATACTATTAGCTACAGAAATCGATGTTTTGATTCAGTATATCGGAAATATTGCGTATGTTGGAGAGCTGTATTTCAAGATTATTTCACATGGTGAACTCTGTTTCCAATACAACCCGTAAGATTCTAGAAAAGTTTTTCAGACAACTTTCAAAAATCTTGAAGCACCATTTTTTTGGCTTTTTCAATGTGAAATTTGATAGAGTTTCGAAAACGATGTATTCAATATAAATTTTACATTGGTTCCAGTCTGCTACCAAAAAATTTCCAAATTCCAAGTTTTCGTAGGAAACGGAAAAAAAACAGATTTTATTATTCACATTCGAGTAAACTACATTGTTTTAGCTATTATGAATCTTTTTTTCATGGTATTAAAATAATCTATAGAGAAAATACATGAACAAAAATATGAATACAAAGCCAAATATGCAATTGAAACAGGATTGTTTATATTATTAATTAAGAGGCTTTGAGTGTTTGATATAGTAATATTCGTAATCAGTGCACTTGACTCTAGTTTTTCACATATCCCGAAAACCTTTTGATCAGTTGCATAAAAACTAACTTCTGAAATATTGTCAACCATCATATCTTACTGCAAAACGCTACAAATTTGAGGGTAGAAAAATTGCTTTATCCGCCCTGGTCTTTTGCACACACGTTTCTTTACGCAAACAGCTCCTGAACAAGACTTATTTAATAACATGTATGAAGAATTGAAATTGTCTGAATACAATAGACACCCTGTGGCTTCTTATATGGGGAGGAGGGCGAGTCTTCTATTTTCGGGGAGTGGCTTATAATATCTTACATTTGATTAGAAATAATATAAGAACATCTCAATGCATTAAAAATAATATCTTCTAAATTCTGAGCCATATTTATTAATTTTTGATCATCATCCCGATCACCCCCACCAGGTGTATCATTTCCTTTATGATGATGATTTTCAAAAATAAATAATGCACGTGGTACACAAAGACGTCCATCATGCATATTAATATCAGCGTCTTTTAATATATTCAATGAACGAATTGCTTCTAATACAGCTGGTTTAGTTTTATGACGTAAAAGTTCAATAATACGAAAAAATCGTAAATAATTTAAATCAAATGTATGTGATGAATGAGAAATCTGAATACAAAAGAAGAAAAGAACTAGTATTACACAAGTAACTTAAAGAAAATAATAACTTACAATAATAATATGTGATAGAAGAAAGCAAATAAGACTTTTTTTAATAAAATTTGCTTGTTTATTTTCCCATAAATGAGCAAAATTTTTTATAGATGTATCATCATTAATATTATCAATTAAATGAAGTAATTGATATGTATCATGAAATGAACGAAGATGTATATATATTGTATTATTTAAATGATCATAATAATATTCAAAATCATCTTCATTATTAATAACAGAATGTTCTTTGAATGCAGGTATTTGTATAAGTTGATTTAATTTCCATGATTTATTACATTGTTGTTCAAATAAAGTACTTTTACCAATTAATGATACAATACATAAACGATTTTCTTTTCTACCAGAATTATCTACCATATCTCTGTTTTTTCTTTTTCTTTCTATCAAATATCTAAAGAATAATATTTTCGTTTTTCGAATCATAATTCTCTAAATTTTCTCATATTTCATAAAAAAATAAATTACATATGAATATTTGCATTTGTAAAATTATTAATGTTTTTAAATATGCAAAAGGACACGGATAGGCGCTAAGAAGCAAACATTGGATGGAAATAAGCAAAAAACAAAAACAAACTGCAATTGAAAGAAAAAAAAAAGGAAATTATTGATTTAGCGAATGGGAAAATATTATAAAAAAAAGCTAGTATTCTTATTTTTGTTTTCTGTATACCAGCTAACAAATAAAACACACACACACATATAAATGAAGAACAGCGGATATAATATCTATACAATGTCTTAAAGCAATAAATAAAAAAGAAAAGAAAAATAAGACGGTAACGAGAAAAACAAAACAAAAAAAAAGAAGAATTTTCTTTTCTTTTGTATACAATTAATTTTCGATGTCAACTAGAAATTAAAAAAAGGCACACAACAAATTATATGTTCAAGGTACACAGAAAAATTATTCGTTATTTGTTTACTACTACTGTTCCATATGATGATAAAAACGATTTTGTTTTTCTTATGAGATCATTTGCCCTTAGAGGACATCAACATAAGTAGCTGGATAAAGACCAACACGATTGCCAACACGTCCTTTACACCAACCTTGATCATCTTCATCTTCTAATTTAGTAAATACCTCACCTTAACGAAAATAAATACATCTATAAAAAGAAAACAACAACAAATATAAAAATTTACCTTGTTTAAATGATAATTCATCTGGTTCTTGTGCTTCATAATCATAAAGAGCTCGTACAGATACACCGGCATTATTATCATTTGATGAAACTCCTGTTGATGTCGGTGATCGATGTGAACGTTGATGAGATGATGATGGTGAATCAACATCTTCGTCATCTAAAAATGGATTAGCCGCTGCTGGATATGATGGTGATTTATTATCATTAATTGGATATGTTGATAATGATGGATAAGCACCATTATTGGTTGTTCCACCATAATTTGAACTAAAAACAAACAAAAAAAAAGAATATCAAGTATTCATTAAAATATGAATAATAAAATTTAAAAAATATATTGCTTAATACACACATGCATATCATAGTTATAATATTTTTAGTTTAAACTTATCATGCAAAAGATAAAGCGTTTAGATTTGGATATAAATTCTCATGTTCAATTTAACACAAGAAAAAGCAGTTAGAAATGCATAAAACAAACGAGAAGCTTCGGTTTTTAACTTTCTACCGAGTATTCGCCGATTTTTCTTTTAGTGATGCATCATTATCATCATCACCATCATCATCATCATCATTGAAAGGGTTCGAATTGCTTGTAGCAGTCGTATCCAACGCAGGATAAACAGATGAACGTGCACCATGCGCTGGTGATTGATTTACAGAGCTACATAAAAGCAGACGATATATAGGATATAACCATAAAATAAAGTAGCATACAAAGGAAAAAAAAGAACAGCTAATAGGACCCTATTCTGATAAGGTACATGTATTAAATCAACAGAAGCTGACATTAGCAGATAAGATGCAAACATTAGTATTAAATCACAAATACGGCTTAGAACTTTTGATCTCGTTTACATAAATACAACTAAAACTATTTCATACAGCTGAAGATTTTAACGGAACTGTTGGTTTATCAATTAACTGTTCGACTTCCTTCTTTTATTAATATAATTCTCGTTTCAACTAACAAGGGAACCTTCCCAGGTGCCCGATCGCTTTTCAGTCGGGACTTTGCGCAACTTGTAGGCCTTGATGAATTATACCTACCNTTATTATTGGTGACATATTTACATTTTACAGCTGCTTGTATGTCTTTAGTTTTCGTCTTTTTTCAAATATATCTAAGACATTTTTTAGGCCTAGTCATATATGATTTTGTAGAAAATTTCAATCGCTATCTTTTGAGAATAAAAAGAGTTTTAAATACAGGGAGAGTAGAAGAGAAATCTTAAAAATACTGAGAGGTTCATTTTTCCTGGGACACCCGTTAGTTTACACTGAAAGTTTCAGCCTTTTTCATTACTTCTCTTGTGAGAGATGGATATTCAAAATTCTATTGTGTGAGAAAGCAAATCTTGTACTTTTATTATAGTATCTCATGAGACAAACAACAGAAAGACTGATACTTTCAAAATAAATCAGTTTTATTGAAACTATTACTTGTGCAAAGTTGTAAGTCAAAATTAGAAATTCAACTTTCAATGTGACTTTACGAAGGAGCGTAGAATTTTCTTGAAAAATTTGAATAAAAACAAAAGAAAAATCTTTTTTTTCAAAAATCTTACGATTAAAAAAAATTAAGTGTGTACAAATAATTAGCATCGAGTGGGAAGTACCATTACATAAAATATCAACTTATTAACTATAGTGATAGGATGAATCATTTTTAGCCTCCTTTTAATGTCGACAAATGTTTATAAAAATTTGATAGATAATATAATATTGTTGACAATAATATTAAATACATGTGAAGAACAACTAATTATCTATTTATTAATATTTATGAAAATTTTAAATCTTTAATTTTGTCTTCGGAGATCTTTCAATTGATTCAATTTTAATTTTATTCTTTGCATATATTGACTAATGAGTAAAAATATCTGAGGCTTAGGTATAAGTGATAGGCGGAGGCAAAGGAGAGGAAACAAGAACGAAACCAAAAGTACCTAAACATCCTCCCTCTTCCACAAAGAATTTTTTTTTATTAAACGTTTTTGAATGATAATTCGGAGTCTGTGGAAAAAAATAAATATTATTTTTAAAAAACATATTAAAAAAAACAATATGAGGAGTTCATCGTCATCTGAAATAGACTTCTATTCTTAAGGTCTTCCCTCCTTGCATTTCTGCATTTACAAATCAAAATGTGTCGGAATTTTTCTTTTTTTATTAGTCTCACCCATTTTGAAATATCCTCTATTGATGTTAAAAGAAAAGAAACTTCTTTTGAAAATCTTTAGACTTTAAAAGACAATGATTTTCGAGAACGTCCCAAATCTCTGAAAACTCAATTTTTTTATTTTGTTTTCCTGTTTTTTTGAAAAACATTTCTTCATTGCGTTTATTTTATTTGTAATTATCTTACTGTTAACGTGTAATTTCATTAGAGTAATACATCGATATACATGTTACCTCATCGTTCGTCTTCAGTTTAAAATAACGGATAAAGCTTATTCAAATAAACGACTAATATAAAAAGATCGACAATTTTCGAGCTCAAACTTATTTTTGTAGATTAGTTTTTCTTCTGTATATTTAAGACTATTCCTATAATCGTTGGTTGACGAATCTGTATGTGTTCAGAATAAATTACTCTTAGTTTTTAATTCTGTCGTTGATTATTTTCTTTTTTTCAGTTAGTAGTCTAACAAAGATAAATGAACAACTAGTATATTGCTCTTGTACGTATATCTATTTATGAATATTTCATAAACATGAAAGAAAAGTGCTTTCTCTATATCATGAAAAACTAATTCATCAAATCTACTGTATCGGAAAACCTATACAACCAAAGTTTAAATTAAAAGAAAAGAAACAAAGAGGAAGAATATTGAGAAGAAAATTGAAGTTCAATATTTTATCGCTCTTATTCTCTCCGATCTGAGGAGATAGATCAAAGTTCAGCATTTTTCATATATTCTACAGAGATAGGCACAAGACAGGACAGAAAAGGTTGTTCTTTACCCATCTATGGTAGTGTAATGAACTCACATGTCACTCAGTAGTGTAGGTTACATTTTGTTAAAATATTTATAATTTACTTTTGTTTTTGCTGCTTCGACTATTGTGTGTTTAAGGTAATTGCAATTTTTTTTCTTTTTCTTATTTGTTTTTTCTATTTCGACATAGATGTCGTTTTTTTCTCATTTATTTTCGAAATCATATTCGATAATTTAAGTGTTGATTTATATTCGAATTCAAATCTAGACAAGTCACTCGTTGTTACATAAATGTGATTAGATAAAAAAAAGAAAACATTCCAGTCAAATATAGATGTAATCATTTTAAATCATTCAAATATCTAATTATGTCAAAGTTTTAAGTAAACTATAATATTTTACGCGATGTTTTTCATCATGTATGAACTTAATACAATTTTTTATTGTTTCATAAATATTTTTATTGTACGATTAAAAATGTAACATATTTAAAATATATTGAGAAGTTTATATTCTTACAAATGCTTGGGACTTTTCTCGAAAACTTTAAAGTATCTACGTGTTTATCTTCTTAGAATGCTGATAATTAACCAATCTGAATATGCAAACAAAATAGAGAATCAATTATTCAGAAAAATCTAAATTTTCTTGTTTTATTTCTTCAAGTTTGACTTCTTTTCTTCTTTTTTTCAAGTTGAAACAATAAAAAATAAAACGAGAAAAATATTTACTTTAGTAACCAAACCATTTTCATAGTATTAAAGACATAAAAATTTAATATTTTAACTATATTCTAAATATTATTCTTAATATAAATTTCAAAATACATGATTTATTCAATGAATGAATGATAAAGTTAAACTTATACAATTTCCTATTGAAATACAAATAGAAATTAAAACATTAGTGTAAGTATTTAATGTATGATAATTTCTATTATTTAAAAAAAATGATTAACTATTGAATTAACATATTAATATGATTTCATCAATTAGACTATAGTTTAATTTTCATAAGACAGGAAATGAGAATGAAAATATTTAAAAGAAATACTCTTCGCCTTATAAAAATTACTACTAGGAGAGAAGAAAAATTATTTTGTTTTACTTACTTGAGAATCGTTGTCGCAGTTTCAAGTAAATTAAATGCCTATTTATCTTTCGATCAGATTCAACTTTTGTAACACAAAAAGAAACACCTGGTGTAATAAGTTCTTCTTCTTCATTAGGATATTCAGATAATCCAACAAGATCAGCAGTAAAAGCAATTACTACTTCCATAATAAATAATGTGTTACCAAATACTTCTGCTTTTTGACGATTACGACTACATGATGTAAATGCTTGAAATGATCCATATTCATCATTATTTTTAGCCATTTTTTCATATTTAGCAATTTGTTCACGATTTAGATTTGCTCCTCGATAAAGTGTTTTCTTGGTTTTTGCTTTTTTATTACAAGGATCATCCCAAAGTAATAAACAGAAAGGACCTAATGTACGAATTTTACTTCTCCATACAGATTCATGTTCTTTGTCTCCAACTAATCTCATTGTTGCATTTAATGTTTTATAAAGAAAACTTTCTAATGAATAAATATAAGCACAGCGTTGCCATACTTGTTCAATTCCATTGTTTTTTTGTTCTCGAAGCATATTTGCCAATTCTTTAGCTTCTTCTTCTTTTCGAATATATTTTCCTTCTTTAATAATACCTTGTGCAGCTTGTTCAACAAGCTGTGGTATCATCTCTGGTTTTTTTGATGGCAATTCATCTGGTTCAAGTTTTAAATCTCTTCTAACTTCTATGATAAATGGTGATACCCAACCATATTCACCACCAAATGAATGTTCTGTACTAACAGGAAGATCTACGAAACGTTCTGTACTAACAGGAAGATCTACGAAACGTTCTTCTCGTAAATGTTTATCTTCTCGATTACGCACCACTCGCTTGACAGGTCTTTGCTTATAATCATCTGTGTTTGATATTTGTCGATTTGCTTGAAAATCAATGTAATAATCATCTAATACTGCTCGTGCTTCTCCATTTGAATATGCTCGTTCAATAATTAAATTTTCCACATCAGAATAATGATTCCATATGTCTGGCTCAGAACTTGACCATGGATTTGGATTCGCCTGCCACATCCATTCAACACATTTTAAAGAGTTTTTTGGTGTTGTATATGTTGAAGTTGCCATAGTAATAATTATTTGTTTTCTTTTCGTTTAGTTGAAAAAATACTTTATGTATCAATGATTTTATTATCTTAAAATTTAAAAGAGAAAAGCAATAAAATAAATAAATAAACAATGCAAGACTTCAGCTTTGAAGTGTAATTAGGTGCAAAATTCTCATGAAGTTCTTTGAATTTTCAAAAAGCTTTGAGAAATCTTAAGAAATCTTTTTAGGTTTTTGTTGAAAGTCTTGAAATCTACTGTTTTTTCTCGGGCACAAAATATATTTCAACCAGAGACCGAAACGAGGCGGGGAATCTGGGCGAGGCGAGGCGGGGAGCTATTACGACGGGGGCAAGGTTAGGACGGGGCGAGGCGAGGCGGAGTTAAGTTAAAATCCCCAAATTTTCTTCGTCATGGCTTCACAATGTAAATATTAATATATAGATTATGTATTTGAATAATGTATTTATAAAGGCTCAGGATAGCAGTCTTTGCGCAATAGATTATATACTGGATACTTTGCACAAGTATAAAAGTTTTTCGCTAAATGTGAATAGTCTCTATAGAATTCTTTCTTTATCGTGGGAAATAAATAGATAAAGAGTGCAAGAGAGTAAAACAGAAAATTTGATGTAGAATTTATTTATACATTCATTTTTTCAATAAATACTTTTTCATTTCCTTGTAACATCAAAATTGCTGCATGCCACAAAAGCATCAACTACTCAGCATTTCACTAGAATCCAATGCAGTTTGTTTTTGTTAAATAGCTTCCTATACGCTATTCAAATAGAGTAAGAAAAGGAGAGAAGCATATTTATTTTGTAGGCATGAAGGCAAACATTTGCGCAAAATTTTACTACTTAAAGGAGACATACAAAGTACATGCCCATAGTTATTGGACCGAGGATATATTTAAGGTATCCTGTAGTTTTTCAATAAGAGACACATTAAGAATGTCCAACTCGGCACACCATTTGATGAGCTAAACAACTTTACATGCCTTACTTGAAGAAAAATGAAATTTGAGCTCAACCTAATTTGGCTAAATTGGAATTGTAAATGTCATGATTTCGAAGCTGAGAAGTTGACATTTCTCTAGTATTCAGTGACTTTGGTGTTACAAAAATGCGTCTAATGATAATTTATCAAAGGACATTTCGTTAAATTGACAGAAATTTTCCTATCTTTTAACATCGGTATCAAACATTTTGATTGAATCCAACTTGACACAAACAGTCTATCAAAAACCTGTTATGTCCTTTATCACACGCTTTATTAGTGTTCATTTCTTCATCTAAAACTAGCATGACTACTACTACTAATAACATCTCAAAAAGCAAAATGTTGTCGTGTTTGCAGTGCATGTCTGCCGAAAGTGACTCCGACCGCAACAATTGATATTGAAAATGATCCAACAAAAAGAGTTTCTTGAACAGTCAATGAATGATGAAGCGACAAAAAGAAAGTCAATATCAATAAGAAAAGATGAAATCGATATAAATATCGATTTCAAATCAGACAAAGACTGCTTAAATTCATACTTATTTTGACATGATAACAAGAACCTTTTTCTAGATGTCTCTAAATTGGCATGTCGCATATACCTAATACTACACGATTCAGCTGCTGTCGACAAAGAATTTTCGGTAGCAGGAGAATTTATCAACCAAAGACGATCTAATTTACATCCCACAACTGTTAATAATATTTATTTCTTCTCTCTATAGAGAATAGCAAAAAGATTTATTGATAACCAATTATATTCTTTTTTTAATATTCTATTGTTGTCTTTTTTTCCAGTATGAAGTCAAACAAATGATCTGACCAAAGGAAAACATATCTCTTAAATACTTAACGAGGTAGTGAAGAAAAAACAATCAAGGTCGAGGCGAGGAGCTAAAAATCTACCCCCGTTTCGGGCTCTGATTTCAACTTATTAGTTTTTGTTTTTTGATCATTTTCAGAAACTTGAATTTTTATTCGATATTGAAATGTATAAATACAAACAAGTCACTATTTCCAAAAATCTAGCAAATTCAGTATAAAACCTGAGCAACACTTACTTAAATTAATATTGGTTAAATTTTGTTTTAAACTTGCAAAAATTTTCTCAAATAAATTTGCCGATCGTCTTAAATTCACTTAGAATAAACTAATCAATACAAGCTAATTCGAATACATACAACCATAGAGAAATTTTTAATTATTCATCTATGAAAAATTCATATGAGTTTCACTGTAAGTTATATTTAACTTTAAATAAAATAAATCCATAAAAGAAAAAAGTATACCTTTGTCTTAATTGTCTCTCAATGTCACGAATGAAATATAAAACATTCAGTCTTATGTTTCATTTGCTTTTCTTTTAAATAAAATATCAAATAAATTTTTTGAATATTGTCCAATAAATCATTTTCACAAATTTTTAGCAAATAAATTGTATTTATTACTTTTAATTTATCATTTGTCTTTTTCTGTTTCATACGTATATGATAAAAGCTATTAGCGCAATCCCTTCGGGATTTAAATGTGAAACACAAAGTAGCTTCTCTTAGTACTTACACGAATATTGTTTTCTTCGATAAACCTTAGGACCCATTTATTCATCACTTCTTACTTAAACTGGTAAAACTGTAATAAGGAAGCAGTTAATATATTCTGATGAGATTCTAGTGATATATAATCGTTAATTGTGTTTCAAAAGGTCTATCAATGTCTGTGGGGAAGGGATGCAAATTTCTACCACATATACTTCAACACTTCCTTCAGATCGTGTTTCACAAAAGCTTTGTAACTGAGTTTAATATAAAGATGAGCAAACTAAATCTCTTTTAACCGTCAAATATTTCTCATATTTTTATCTAGTGGTTCAATTAGAAAGAACTCTGAATCTTAAATATTTGATATCACTCAAAATTTTAACATTATTGACAAATTTTTCGTCTCCTTCCAAAATTAATTTTTAATATCGTACATCACTTTTTCTCTAAAGATTTTTCAAGATGTTCTGCTAATTTAAGTACATGAATTCAAAAGTATTACAGCTTTAGATCTCATCGTTCAGAATATTTCCAAGGAATCATTGTACGAAACAAAGATTTCCTGTGTACAGGCGTTTTTTCATACATTTCAAGGTACAAACTTCGAAGCTATTCTCATTTCAAACAAAACTTCATACTCTTTCAGGGCAACGATTGATTTGTACTTAATGGTAATTTTTGTAAATCTGACAGTCTTAAAATTCCACAAATTCTAAGTAAAGTGTTCTGGAAAGAGTTACCTATTTTTATTTTGAAGACCGAATACAAGATTCCTTTCATTTATCCGAAAGTGAATTTACTTATCTATTGATTAAGCAAAAATTTCAGTTCATTTGAACGAAGACTATTGAAAAGAAATTCATTCCGTGTTGGACAATTTATGAAAAAAACAATCTTGAGAAAAAGTTGCAAACACTTTTTTCTACAATTATTAAACGACTTGTTGACATAATCATCGAATATAATTATACGATGTATCAATTCAAAATTCATCTAGAATTGAATTAAGTGACTCTTTAGCTACACATCTGACTATGATAATAGATCTTCACTGTACTAACATTTATAGTTTTCCTTAAGAGATGCTATTAGTACTTTTGTTGCAAACCGCTAGAAACTTTGTTAAAATTTCTGAATAAAATTTTTTAAAATTTAAAATCTTTTTTTATGAACGGTAAAACTAGATATCTGGAGTGCCATACATATTTGTTTATCTGTAAAGTGCTTTCTGTGTTTTCTTAGAAAGTTCTACTTTTTTGCAGTGAGGTAAAGAAAGTTCTACTTTTTTGCAGTGAGGTAAAGAAAGTTCTACTTTTTTGCAGTGAGGTAAAGAAAGTTCTTAATGGATATATTCAATATGATGATCATTAAAATAATTAATTAGAATGAATCTAATTGTTAGAAATTTGAAGATATAGAACTATGTCAATCTCTTATTAGTGTTCAATTGCGCTTGTGTTCTTTTAAATTCAATACTTTGAAATCTTTCCAAAAGAATAGTACGAATCTGTTTTAAAAAAGTATTTTACTGATTGATCGAATAACAGAAGAATTCAAAGAAAAAATTTATTCTCTTGATGAGCTTTTCTTTCATTCGAAAGAACTCTGTTTTTGAGTGATGCAACAACTCATGTTTCTTATTCTTAATAGAGTGTGGGTGTGAGTGCGTCAGATGTGGGTGAGGATCGTTGTAGATGTGAATGCGGATGAGTGTGGTGTGGGTGCGAGTTGTGAGAGTATGTGGAGTGTGGGATGTGGTTGTGGGGCGGGGTGTGAGTAGGTGAGTGGGTGGATGGAACGGTGGTGTGGGTTTAGTATTGGTATTTATTGTCATATTATTGCGGGTATGAGTTATTTCTGAAGATGCGTATAGATATAGGTGGGTATTTGGGTGAGTTTTGCGCAGATTGCTGCATTTTTGTGGAATTCTTTCAAGAACAAGATCTGTTTTCTACATATATCTATGTTTCGAGTGTATAATCTTGCTGACTTGGTCAGTATAGTTTTTGTTGAATCAGCGTGTATGAGAATAACGATCAATATAGATAATACTAAAGGTGTGGTAATAGAATGATAATTGGTGCTATAGAGTAGATCATAGCTGTCAATTGGAATACTACTGCATGGTGATACTCAAGAATAGAATGTAAATTCAGAAATAAATTTATTTGAGTACCTTGGTGTTAAGTTTCTCTGTAGTTTCGTACGTTCTCACCGAGTGCAAACTTTGAGTAAAGAATGAATTGATAGAGCTCGCTGAATTCAGAGTGTGAAAACGTGTTCTAAATGCTATATTGCGAAACACATTTCGGAAGGAAAGTTCTTCAAGCCCTATTTACGAACATTTTTTCAAAATGGCGATGATTCTTATACGTTTCTAGAAAAATTGGTGAATAGAATATAATTCTAGCTGTTTTCATTTTACGATGTATTCGAATAACTGCAAGACGGAAATGGTGGTACCGTTGTTAGTCTGAAATCGACGTCTGCCGCTAACCTCTGTTCTGCCTTCTCAAGTTATTATCAACGACACTGATAGCCATATTGCGTAACTAGATATTTCATTGATTTACTCAGTTTCATTTCTGTTTTATTTTACTTAAAAAACTTGTTTTACCTTCAGCATTCGTATTGAATTATAAAAAATAACGATCGATATTCTGTTCCATATCGTTTCATGGTTGATGATTTTAAGGAAATGTTGAACGGTAGGTAACGAATAAAGAATGTATCGTGCCACCTCCTATTATTCTCAATCGATGTGCGCAGTCTCTGAAATGCTATTGCCAACAAAATAAAAAACTAAAAAATGACTGATTGCATTCGTTTGAAGCATAAAAGAGTCATTCGCCTACCTTGCTCTGTTTGTTTTGGTTACTTACAAAAAAGAATTGCACCACACTTGAAATTTTAGTTTCTTCTTACATCGACATCGGTCGGAAGGAAGAGTAAACAGAAGTACATGCAGACAAAAACAAAGTTGCTTAGCATTTTTAATGCATGAGGCTACAGTTGATGAAATAAAAACAATTAATATGGCTCGATATTTTTCAGTGTCCCATGCAATGCAAACTAAGATGAATTTAGAGTTTGTTTTTGAATAAAACAGCCCGATTATTTTATGTGACTCGGGTGCGGATGTGTGGTGTGGGTGGGGTACCCCTACATCTCGTCCCATTTACATTTCGTCCCTTTACAACTCATCCCGTTACATTTCGTCCCAATTTCATTTTATATCATGATTTTACTAAGACTAACCCTCTAATTATCGAAAAATAGAAGTTGTGTAAATATTCAGTGTCGTATCTGGTGTAGGTGTGGGTTTGAGGTGTTGGTGTGATTGGGGAAGAGATCAATATCCACACCCACACAAGCACACACCCCACACCCCACACCCACACAAGCACACACCCCACACCCCACACCCACACAAGCACACACCCACACCCCACACCCCACACCCACCCACATCCCACACCCACACAAGCACACACCCCACACTCATCCGCATTCACATCTACAACGATCCTCACCCACATCTGACGCACTCACACCCACACTCTATTAAGAATAAGAAACATGAGTTGTTGCATCACTCAAAAACAGAGTTCTTTCGAATGAAAGAAAAGCTCATCAAGANTGCATTTGAATGAAAAAATCCATTTCTAAAACTTCTTTCTCGTTTTTCTCAGAACATGGTTTTCAATCAGAAAAATTGGAACTCCTCCCTCATTTCTCGAACAATAACCAATATTTTTTTTTGTTTTAAAGATTTTAATAAGAGTAAACTTTTCATCAACCAGTTTTTTTAAAGTTGATTCCTGGGCTGAGAAAAATGGAATTTACTGTCGTCGGATCACGTTTTTTTATACTTCTTTTAAGACATGTCTACTAAAATACTCATAAAAAATGAACAATAGGGAATTTAAAAATTCTGGTTGATGAAAAGCGGCATACTGACATTGGCTTTAATTTGAAACTACTCCGAGCTCTATATCTTGTGTCGCGACGAAGTTATACCGATTCTGCTGAAGACCAAAAATGACCTATGAATCAGCTGGAAATCCGGTCTAGTAAGACCTATAGGGCTGAAATTTTTACCAGAAGTGTTTCTCATCAGGATAAGTTATTCCTGAAAATTTCAGCCCAAAAGGACCATTTTAAGTGGGAAATCATTTCTAAGGGAGGGGGGGGGAGGGGTCTTAATATCACAATATTCATTATAGATATATTTGTTTTTTTTTCTTAATATATAGATATCCAACTGTGATGTTTTCTACGGGTCCAATGTTTTTGACACACGAAGCTTCATCTTATTCAAATCGTTCTTCTTTAGATATCCTTTCTCCTGAACTCTATGGAAAATATGTATATAATTCATCGTATGCTCTATTTCGACATTTAAAAGGTTAATTAATTGCATTATTAATTTATTCGATAAATAATTAATTGATCTATTATTTTAGCTTCATCTTGGCATGGTAATGATGCATCAATGATAAAATATATTTATCGTTGGCGATATATATTCATTTTTGCATTGATTATTATCTTAATTACGATTTTTGCTGTAATCTATATCATCCAACAATATCAGACAATTATTAAAATGATTTATCAAACTTATTTAACCATGTTATTAAATTTAAATCATTCAAAAATAAAAGAACAAGCTTTAACACATAGGAAATATTTTCGTATATTGTTATTAAATTTTGTTTTGTTTTATTTTTCTATACTTGCTTTATATAAAATGATATATCCATCATTTGTTGATCATGGTAATATTTCCTCATGATCAACAAAAGATGAAATAGAATGAAAGGGCAAACAGTTTTTATTATATTCTCTTTCACATATTATCCGGCTAAAGATAGATAAACTCTTTAATCCGATATGTTCTTTTTTGTTTTTGTTCTTTCTCTAGAGAAAAAAATATTGAAGATTAATACCAACGAAATAATCAAGTACCATATATAGTTAATAAAAATCGAGTATAGTACACACATTATCTTGTTGTTATTAAGTAAATCAAGAAATCGAAATGGACAATATTAAAAATGCTGCTAAGGCTGTTGAAGATAAAAAGCATGTATGAATTGAATATTTTTTTAAATTCAATAATTCAATTTGGTTTCTTTAGGAAATGATGAGCAGATCATCAGCAGAATATAACAAAGAAAAGGCAAAAGATTCTAACAATACTATCGGTGAACGTGTTGGTGCTGGTATTGATTATTGTAAGGATAAAATTGAAGAAGGTGGCCATGCTGTTTCGAAAGAAATTAACAAACAAAAAGCTATACATTAGAAAAATTAAAAAAAAATAAAAACTTTAATTAACATATATAATCTCGCTGTATTTGTGTGTTGTTGGTCTTTTTCTTTTATTGATATATTGTATTTAAAAAAACTGAATTAATTATCTAATTGAAGCATTCATTAGTGTCCTGCACGGGTACGACTTTTTGCACCCGGACCCGACCCGACAGTTTTTTTTCTACCCGAGTCCAACCCGAACCCGGCTGTCTCGTACCCGGGCCCGACCCGGACCCGGAGAGCTGTACCCGACACCCGACCCGGCCTTGACACAGTTAGCATTTAACTATTATTGTCAAAGTGACATACTTTTCACACTTTTATTTCATATTACAAAGTATACTATTGTTTTAATTTCATCAATTAACACGAACAAAACAAAGTTATCTAAAATTTCTCAGTAACATTATAATATAATGTTACTGTTATAGATGAATTCTTGCAGTCTCAAATATAAAAGAAAAAAATATAAATATTGTAAATCATTCAGTCTTGAACTCTCACGATTTTGAACGTATAATTTAATACAATAATATTGTATAACTCTTACAAATGAATTCTTGTACCTTAAGTATAAAAAAATGAATTTGGTACATCATTCATTCTTGAATTCTTACCAACTAAAAAGTACAAAATTATTCACTGAAATCGTGTACCAGTTACAAATGAATTCTTTCAATATTCAGTTCAACATGAAAAGCAGAAAATGTTATTGTTGCTTGCGTAAATTATTCTGATTCTTAGTTTATACGATAATGCATTGATGAATCATGGTTTAATCGATCTGATACGCGTATCTTTTTTTTTTAACAAATAACAATCGTGGAAAGCAAAAGATTCTTTCATCTTCAGATCTCAGTCACTGCCGGGTCGGATACCGGGTGTGCTCTAATTTTGTACCCGAGCCGGTATTTTTTTTATACCCGGCACCCGACCCGTTGTTTTTTTTTTAATACCCGGTATCTCATCCGACCCGGCTGCAGGACACTAGCATACATCTTATGAGATATTTGCATTGCATCATGATCATATGAAATGAACACGTGATCCGATCAATATGTAAACGTTGGAATATTGTTATCAGTACATAATGCGATTCTGATGAGTAAACTAGATTTCGAAAAAACAAGAAGAATATTCTTACTGTTAGGTATTAACTATTGCCTAGTGGCAAATTCATTAGTTCGATATCTTCCTTACAAATAATACTATTCTCATCTTCAAAAAGTAATAGTTTTGACTATTTTCTAAATAACTTTTGATAGTTACATCATAGAAATCAGCAGTTTTCATCATTCAAGAGAGAAGACTCGAAGTCATTTACTTATGTCGAAATCTGATTAGTCAACAACTGATGGATCATATCAGTTCACTGCGGAGATTTTGAAACAAAGGACATTCTGAAACTAATTCACATTAGATTTTCACTTGGAATATGGACAATCTATTGAAAGAATTTCTTTTCTTCGATCTACATAAGTTCCAATTTCGTAGTGTGTTCCGTTCCAAACTTACAAGGCTTTTCCCGAGACTCCTGATTTCAGCAATTTGACCTTGAAAGAATCCGAAAGAGATCAAGATAGAGTTAGTTTAGCATACTGAGTCAAATGGTGGTGTTCGTTTCCAGTTTCAAACCGGCTTAAGACTACTTTTCAAGGTTTTTTGAAATGTCGGCTTTGATACTGTGTAAGGAAAGTTTTTGAAATTTCAAAAATATTGTAATAGTGATCTCAGGTCACCCTAAAAACTGTAAACCCATTATTGGTCTATGGGATTTCGACATGCATAGATGTTCTAGGTTCTTCTATCTTGAATGGTCAAAACTTCACGTCTCTATGATGTTCCTGTTAAAAGTTATTCGGACAACAGTAGAGTGTATTCTATTTTGAAATTGACAGTAGTACTAATGAAACTTGATTAAATAGTGTTTAAAGGTGCTAAGGAAGAGTATATATTACTACTATCTATTTTGGTTTAATTTTTGGAATTTTTTTACTTCATTAGTGTTTAAATATGAATTAAAAGATCTCACGTCCATATGTTTGATCTAAACTGTATAATCTGTGCACGATCTGGCCATATCTTACCTTTAAAACTGACTATTCTACTAAAAATCCACTTTCTTTGAACGAATAAACTACGCACTTTCAACTATACATGAATTTAAAGTTTTATTTTTTTCACCAAATTCGATAATTTTGAACGTGGTAGAATGGCTTAAAATCAAAATGTATACAATCATTTAAAATTCTAAATAAATTATTCATTGAATGTAATCATTTTTCCTGAAGTAAATAAAACTTATAATATCATTCAATTACTAAAGTATTCGAACATTACAAGAAGACGATGAATTATGCTGTCAAATATATTCGTTAAGAGGATGCTCGATTTCAAGATTAGTTTTACAAATTTGTTTGTACATCATTGTCCAATTAAGAGTAATATCATCTTTTTTCGATATCGATTGTGTGTTTTGTTTGAAAAAAGCATGATAATGTATTATCGTTTTATTGAACAATTGATTCTCGTTGATTTTTATCAAGAAATGTATAGGAAATTTAGTAAAATAAAACATTTGGTTATTAAAGCAATCAAACAAATGAATTAACCAATGAAAATATATTCTTTTTTTTTTTTTTTTTACTAAATGAAGACAATTTAATATATGAAATATCTTCATGGTCATAAAAGTCTTTTTTTTTATAATTGAGATTCAATAAATTCTTTTTCTTAAAATAATTCACTTGTCTTTTGTAAACGTCCTTTATTGTCATGTGTTGTATCGTCAAAAAATGGATCACGTCCTCGTAAACTCCTGCAAAAAAAAAATGAAAAGTTCTCTTATATCCAATAACGACTATTGTAAGAATCTTCAGAAAAAATATTTGACATCTTAAGCAATAATAAGTTCAGCAGTAAACTTTTAGCATATCTAAGATAAGATATAATATGTCTTTCGAAACATTCGAATATAAATCATAAAAAATGAAGATCATGAAGTTGTATACAAATGACAGTTTACTTGCGAAAATATCGCCCCAAAATGGAACCAGTTGGATCGGAGTTCAAAAAAATTAAGAACCTGATGGACTCCAGTCGTCTGAGAATTTTTTTAGGATGTACTAGATACCGAATACAATAAGCAGAAAAAAGGCATTTCAATTAGAAAACTTCATTAGGAGTATTAAAGTACGATTCGGCTAGGTGTGGTTCGAAAATTTTGGACCGATGGATTCTATAGTAATCACTGATTCACTGGTCTACAGTGAAGTGTTACACTGACTTAGACATGTACCTACAAAATAACAGTAAAGACGGCGGACGCAAGACAAAACTCCAGTGATCTTAGATTCATTTCGACTTTTTCGGTTGGACGAGGTTTATTTTAAAAAATAGCTGAATTTCCATAAAAGATGCCTACACTGTAAGACTCAAGCCTTTCTCAAATGAGAAAATAGAGTTCGGGAATTTCAACAAATCTCCTATAGATTCGTATTCATGGATCCTAAAAACCTTCGGTCTACTTTAATAGAATTCAGCTATTTTCTTGAAACTTCCTTAGCGTCTTCACTATTCGTCTACACATACATGTTCAGACCAGTGCAAAGTTGCACGTAAGACCATTACACTGTCATCGCTGCATCTCTAGTTCGTATAATCAGTACTGATTTCATCTCTGAATATACAGAACTAGAAATATTGAAATTTATTCAGATACTCTTTTTTTTTGGTCCTTCAAAATCTCCTATTTGCTAACGAATGTTCGGTCACTCATCAATTACTTTAAATAGCCAACAAATATTTCATCTCAAAACTTTTACAACACACATTATTAAAAACAAATTAACACACCTGACTTGATATGGGTCAAGTCGATAATGAGTAATACGTTCGTCGACATAATTATCTAATGTGCTAGATATTTTGTTATTTTCTGTAAAACCGGTTGCTCGTGGTTGTTGAATACCACCGACCACATAACCTTCACGATCACGTCCCTTTCGATTCATATCAAAATGACTATTTCATAATAAATAAAAGAGATTCAATTCATTTCCTTTTTTTTTCTAGACAAAAAAATTTGTCATACTTTATTTGATAACTTGTAATAAATCGACGTGGATCATCGAATGTTTTCACATAACCAGTTTCATTACTTATTGGTCCTGTTGTTTCTTTTGGTCCAATATTCAAATTACCCATTTTTTCAGGTAAAAATTGATTACCAAGATAATGTTTACGATATTCACTACATACAAAAAAAGAATATTCTTTCAATAAAAAATTCATTATAGATAAATAAATTACATACGTAGAATCCGGTGCAAATAAACCACCAGCATAAGGACCTTCACCAGTAGGTAAAACAAAATTATTGATTACGCGATCTGATGATATTTTTGTATTAGTACCAATAACCGTAAGTAATGGATCATCACCCTGAAATATCTCATGTATTTATCGATCAAAAATGACTCCGCACGATAAGAGTCGAAATCTGCCACACTTCTAAAGTGTTATCAAATATACACTGCGCCAAAGAGTATCTCGTTTGCATATTTTAGTGTCGTGAATTTGATTTTTTCTTACTGATGAGAAGCCGATATAATTCACCGACTGACACATTTTAGACACATGTATGGTTAAAGATTGGCATAAACGAAAATTTTCTGTCTGTAATGATTTTCGGCCTTGTGTACTGTGATTAGATAAGTGGTATCAAATATTCAAGAAATTGGGGAATGCAGGACACAAAACGATAAATTTTTATTTCCGAAAAAAGTCAACCAGATGTTTTCTATGTATTTGCAGATATATTGTTGTGACCTCATGCTGACCCAATATTTCTTAGAAAAGAAAAAGAATTTATCAAGTGTCTAAATGCATTTTGTAGAGCCGAGAAATGATTCATTTAATCACAGTATTGTATATTAAAAATATTTGTAGACAGAAAAATTTCGCTTTAATCCGCCATACTAAACTATGCAAAGTAGCATACCTTTTCATACAGTGTATATTCTGTAATACATTAGATGGATGATAGATTTCGACTGTTATTGTACAAGGTTCTTTATCGAATAATTAAACTAACTTTTGGATAATCAAATTGTGGAAATTTATCTTTATATTCACTATCACCAATTGGTCTTGAACGATAATGCCAACGTTCACCTTCTGTTGTTGTTATTGGTTCAATTTCTGTATTCGAAACAAATCCAGAAGATTCTTTTGGACCAACTTGTCCCAATATAACCGGTTCAGTTCTAGCTGGTTTAACAAAATTACTACCATAAGTTGTTACTTCTTTTCCACCGATCTAATTAATAGATTTTTTTGAAAATATACAAAGTTAATCTTAAAAACAAAATAAAGATTTACTGGAGGAACAAATGAATTCGGTATATGTACAGCACGTTCACGAAAAAATCCTGATGTTTGATTATTAATATTTGGTGGAAGTGATTCTGTACCATTTGGTAATTCATATGGTTTATAATGTGTTTGATGAGAAGTTTCATAATTTTCTGTACACATACGGCTAGAAATAAAATCAGTTGAATTTTTAATTTTAATTTTTTTAAGGTAAGTCAGATTACTCAATATCATAGATAGTTACAAACACAAAGAATGACAGATAATATAGAAAAAACACATAAGAAGTTAAAGATATATCTGTGAACGAATAGTTTTACCATTTTTTAGAATGTAAATTAAAGAAATTATAAAATAGAAGAATGTAATTCTGCATTCATTAGGAGAGTAGTAAAGATTGACGAATGTGAAGTTGTGAGTAGCGACCGAGCCATAATACTGTCACTCTTCTTAGTTAGAGTGAGCAGTGATAGGTAGTGCCATCACTATGTATGCTGTGTTATCCAGGATATAAATTACTAGTAGAGTAGCTAACAGTGAAAGTAATACTCTAGCTCGTATCTTGTTATGCGAAGGATAGTGGAGAGTACAGTTCCTTTATTGACATCGTATACTCTAGCTAACACGATACACTACGCGAGGGCGCCATCTGCCACTGTCAATTCAAAACAAGACGGCTGCTAGTGTCTAATCACAAAACTAAGATTTTCTTTGAAATAAATTTTTGTTTAGTAATATTACAGAGACAATAAACAATAGTTTCAACATAGTCTGTAGACGTTTTCGACAAAAAAAAGTAGTTTTCAGTAATTCATAGTTCACTGGTAGATCCAAAAAACTTGAGGCCGTGGTCAAAGAACGACTTCCAAAGCTCCTTCGTGGTAGTACAAGCTTTTTTTTTTTCGTTTTTGATAAGGACAAATGAAAGAAAAAGTATCGTCAAGCGATAGCAACCGTTGCTTACCCAGCGGATTAAATTTGCCACTGACATAGTAAATAATATTTAATGGAAACATTCACTTCATTTTGAGTCATAAATATAAAATTTTCACTTCTGTCTTATGAAAATTGAACAAATTTAATCTGATCTGGTAAAGCATTCTATCAGGTGTCCCATAAATATTTTTACAATAAAAAATTTGAATATTTCCTACATGTATAATTTCGATAGACTTCCCAGCCAAGAAATACGAACCATTTATGGCCGGAAAACTAGAGGAAATGGTATGAAGTTGGCAGCAGGAATCCGGTGATTGGCTCTGCCTGATTACGGCCAGAAGTAGAAAAATCCGGCCACCAAATTCATGCTTGCTTCCAAGCTTCTACTATTTTCCCGAGTTTTGTGACGGAAGCCTGTCGGAAATTCACAGACTCGGATGCCGGAATCATTGATGTGGGCTGATTTTTTTGTATGGATAAAAACAAAACATTAAGAAATATAATTTCAAACTATCACTATGAACTTTAATAAAGATTTGTGAGTTTTTACGGATTTGAGAAAATATTAAATATATTGATAACAATTTAAAATTGTGAAAGATTAGTTTTATCATCTAAACTGAATCACAAGAGATATATTTATTTTTAATCAAAATAGAAGTAGTCCCTCATTGGATAGACTATGGTGATTTTATAAGAACTTTCTCTGTGATAGAGATGGAACCAGTTCGACCTTAGCCATTCTAACCCGATCCGATTTCTGTTCTTAGTGTCCAAGACTAACTTTTCTAACACACTCTAGATGATGTTTTTTGAAGCATGTAACAGCCACCAAAATCTTTATAAAAGTCGACAATAATACTTTATAATTAATGTTTCACAACGTTTTATTTTAATTAATAAAAAACTTGGAATATTCCTCTATTATTGGTAAACCAATCAGTCCATTGAAATTAAATATATGGAGGATATTAAAACTTTTTATTGTAAAGAGATTTATGGGACACCCTGTAAATTTAGTCTTTTTCTCTTTATGTGAAAAAAATATTATACAACTATTCGTTTTTAATTACTCTGATTTTTTTAATCATTCTGATATGTAATAATCGTTTTATAGACATTCCTTTTGATATAGTATTTCAATAAAAAAAGAAATCCAATTCTTTTAATTCTAATGACCATGAAACTCATGAGATCAGTTCATCTCTGTTAAACCATCGATCATCAAACTTATCTGTTAGTCAGAAGCGAACTGTCTTCGAGCAATGTGCTAATGCTCTATGTTGCTGAAAAATCACTTTTCTATAATTTCCTTTTCTTTTCTATAATGTTAGGTAAAAGAAGCTCTGGAGCATGTCAAGGTTATTTTGTTGATCAATTGTTGGGTCACCAAAAAACAGACGACCTAACAATTAGTTTCTTTGAGGGATTACACATCAAAAAGCAAGTTTCAATGAGTGTATTGCAACTTCAAAGCGACACACGAATCATTTTGACATTATATATGGTAATTGTGCTTATGAAAAAAAATTCAGAGAGTGAAAGTGTGAATAACAACTGATGAAAAGAAGCAATTAAAAAAGAGTTGTTGTATAATGTCTTTCTACATATAGAAAAGGAGTATACTTTTATATTTCAATTAGAGTTAATAGCTTTGAAGGGTACTTTTGAAGTTTGCTCGTATAGGTTAAAAACTCGATGTATTGACCGATCATTTAAAGAAAAACTTAGTTGCTGAAGTTGAATTGAATAGTAAAAATATAAGGAAAAACTTTTGGAACACACGATATATTTTCAATGAAAGCCTTAATAATAAGCCTAGCAGAAAAGGTGAACTTGTTCTCAAGAAAACAACGATAAACATAGTTTTGATTCAAATAATACTAAAATCTTTCCACTTTTTTTCTCTACTGAGTTCACTTTTCATCTTCATAAATATAAATTAAAAAAAATATTACCCAAGTATTGGATTATCAATTTCATCCAATGAACGTGTATATGGTAAATAATATCGTTCATTATTAACAAAACCAGTTTTGGCTCTATCAGCTTTGATTTTTTGTGTAAGAAGATTTTCCGTTGTTAATGATTTATCTGCAAGAATATTTGATTTTGGTCGTACGCGTGGTGGTCGATAAGTACTTGAATATTGTGTTATATAAAAATTCATTAAATAATTATCAGGACCTTCACTTGCTAATATATGTTGATTAGCATGACCAGCAGGAAGGTATTGACCAGCATTTGAACATAAATAATTATTCATTTCTGTTTTTTTTCTTTTTAGTTTTATCTGAAATACAAAAAAAAACTTCTAAGTTAAGTTATCATTTCAAATGTATGTTGCTTAGTAATGATATTCATTCCGATGTTGAATATTTCTAATATAGTAATGCATTTGTAAACAGCTGATATTCAACCAATAGGAAAATTAGTTTATTTTGGATTTATGACAGAGGTAAATTCTTATATTGGTTGATCGATCGATATAAATATTATTTTTATTATATTCGACATATTTCGATTAAAAAATTCAAGTATTTTTAAATTAATTTCGAAACTTATTTTATTATTTAATTAAACATAATGGGTGTTTTGAATGATCCGATTTATCGACCATTATCAAGTAAGATTTGTTTTCTTTTAGTAAATAATCTTATTCCTTGCTTTTGTTTAGTAACATATATTGAATATCAAGAAGGTAAATATAAAATAAAAATTTATTTGTTTTGTTTTTATTTTTAAATTAATTTAGGAGATAAAATTGGTTTTATTTTGGCATGGTTTTCCATGCTACCATTTATTTATATTGTTTCTCTATGTACATTAATTCTATTTCGACGCGACATACAAACGGTAGAAAAAAAAAAGTTGTTCTATTTTTCCACAAAAGTTTTTTCTTTTCTTTTTTATAGATAATGTATTTCGGTGGTTTTTGTGTATCAGAAGTGTGCAATTATTCTCTTAAAAGATTTTTTAAACAAGCACGACCTGAAAGAAGTAAGTTTTACGAGATATCAAAGTTATGTGGATATGTTTTTCGAAGTCAGTTAAATACTGTTCTCACGGACAGGAAGTTCTCCATATGATTTCTATATTAAATATATGAACAAGATAATTTTTATTAAAATAAAACAACAAGTAATAAAATCCAAAGATTCAAATGACGCTTAGATTAGAGAAAAATTGATCAATTAAAGAATGAAATTATTTTTAAAAATCGATAACTGCATCATAACTAATGTATGAAGCCACTTTTTTTCTGATATTGTTGTCCATTGAATTTGCTTCGATTGTTTTTTAAAGTTAGCTATTTGAAGAGAGATTTTAGTCGATAAAAGTAGTTGGATCAATACCCAACAAAGCAGTCTTAAAAATAAAATTCAAATTTTACCAATATATGCTTAGAGGTTTTTCGTACATTATTAACTGGAAAGTTCAGACTATGTTTACGAAATATTTAGACACTTATGTTGTCTCTTTTCATGTCGAAAGTTGAATTACTTAAAACTTTTATTTATTTTTTAGGTAATCATCANAACATTATTTATACGAATTCCATCAAATAGTCCCTCAGTTTATTCAATTTATCGTTTGTTTCCATTACCAGTAGTTACTAATGATAATAAATATATTTATTCTGATCTTCCAAAAACCATAGGACTTAATTCTGTTGAACAAACATTAATTATGTGGAACAATCAATTTAATAACAATAAATGCACATTCTCACCTATCGCTTTATGTCACATTACATCTATTTCAATGTCATTATTGTCATCGTCATGTCTATCTCAATTATTTGACGATTACCACTCTGTTTCAAGTATGTGTCAAGTAAGTCGAACACAAAATATTGAAAAAGCCGTATTACGCATTGATGATGGACTGTGGCTATTTTATAATACGAATCGTACATTTTACTGTCAAGTTTATTCGAATCTATTTCAATTGACTGAAACTATGTCAATTGATGCACCAGCCATTGTACGTATACCGTGTCATAAGACAAAGATATGTCCGGATTTTCAATTACCTACCACAACGTGTAAAACAAATCGAATTATCGTCACACCTGGTTTTGAGTTTAATGTTATAAATTTACCTCAATTTGTCGTGCCAATTAAAAAAATGGCACAAACGGTTATGTCACTTCATCATATACAGCTAGAGAAATCAATCAAAGAATTGATATCGACTTTCTCATTAAAACAATCAAATTTTCAAGACACACTTCGTGAATTTGCATTGTACATTTTATCCGGTGTATGTTGCATCTTCATCATGATCTTCTTCTATATATTCAAATTAATCAAATATAAAGTACTAAAACCAATAAACAATCTTGATTGTCAAGTTCAAGGCATTGTTAACTTTTCATTTCCATGATCCTCTCTAACTATTGCTATTTATACTAATATAAATTGTTTGCTATATATAATAAATTTCCCCTAATCTTGTAATCAAATTAAATAAAATAAAAAAGTTGTCAAACAAACTATCTTGAGGGTAAGAGCATCAAGGCATCCAAAAAGAAAAGGGACTCCTGTAGTTGATAGAGTTCGTCGAGTTACACTTGGAAACCTAATTGGTTTCATTGGAATCGGCTTAGGAGCGAATCGGGGATGATATTTCTCGATTTTTCGTGTTTTTTAGGCATTTTTTAGCGGTATTTTGGTTTTTTGGGGGGGATAAGGAGGGTGTATGGGGGGGGGGGGGACCAGGCCCAGGGAATCGTTACAGCTGATGGTGTTAGACTTGGGAACCATGTTAA